TATCATAACAAGAAAGACAACTGGCCTCAGTTTATCTGAATTCGATGACAACAATCATATTTTGTATTCTGCCTCATGGCTAAAAACACAATCTTTCAAGAAGCAAAGCCTGTCCAGGTGTCATTAAAATGGATGTATGGCATATCAGGATTGCCTGGTATTTTCATTTTCTAAATTTCTGGATAACATTTTACATAAATGAAATACAGAAATAAATACCTGTGTATTTCTGAAGACAACTTCTCATATCAAGATGGCAAAGAATAATTACTACACCAATAGCTCATTATCACCTCTACCGTATTTTGTAATTCACAATCACATCATTATTGTCTGCTGTAATAAAACTATACATCTTCATGATTACAATAGTCATTGTTTAACATTAGAGAATCAGAATGGAGTTATAACAGTTAGTTCTCTCCCTTGAATTTTGAGCGTTCAAGTTGTAAAGAGTCAGTATAGAATACTATACGATTTTGATGGGAAATACAAAATCACATCTTTCATCATCCACAATGATTCCACAATGGTAGAAAGTACTTCAATGAAGTAAAAATAATGTTTGTAGCCCTGATAAGTCCAGAGAGTCAGTTCCTAATTATTGATGAGTCCAGTTACAAATACATAGTGGGTTCTCAAAACATGAGTGAGTCCTTAGAGGAAAAGCTTGAATCCTAGATATTTGATTCTCACAAATCACCAAACGTTAAGTTGATACGATAACTTCCAGTCTAAAAGAAGCTCTTAATAGAACGTCTTTTGCTTTATAACTTTTATTTATGATATTTCATTATCATCTGTTTGATCTTTAGAAAAACTTTTCTGATAAAACTTTGATTTATCACAAAAAAAAATAATAATAATGAGACTTGCTGAATTACAACAACCAGGGATTTGGTACTTTCCATGGTTGTTTACAAAGTTGCCTAAATACCACGACTAACATTACTTTCTTTTACAAAACAGTTCCTAATCATGATTATTACTACTAATATTGACCTCCACCTTGACTTTGGCAATTTATTGAACTGTCTAATTCATAGGAGAATATTTCCAACAATTTTTCAAAATGAATGAAAAGTTTGATGCATGACAAGAGTTTATGGAATTACGTATCACACACACTGGTCCTTTCACACAGCCTTTTTCTGCATCATACTGATATATGGAGCCTAACCCTACAAATCCGGACAATGTTACGTTCCAAGATATCAACATGGTTGCCAGCCTTACCTGTTAAGGTCCTTAGTAAACCAGGAATTTTGTTTCTGGTGTAGAAGTATACTAATAAACTACAAGGACAAAGCGTAGATAAAAAGTTTGTCATAATCAATCAGACTGATCTACATACATACCATACAAAAATGGTGTATTAGGTCTTATTGTTTGTACTGACTAAAGCAAGTTGTTAAGCCAGGCCTATATCACAGATCCTCACAGCTAAACACTGTAAGACACAATGGCACTGTGGTCTTCCTTAAGCAATAACAATATCTTCTGAAATCAACATTTCAGAACACAGATCTAGCCATACAGAATGACATGTAAAACTCTGAGAATGAATTTCAACATCAGCATCACTGAAATAAATTCTGATCTTTTCCCCATAATTTACAGAATGTGAACATTGAATATTTCAGAGGCTATGTAGTGTTATATCTACAATGCCACCCTGCAACTCCAGTCCTTTCTAGATACAATGTTGACAGTGTAAATAAGTATGAAAATTTGGTTGCTTTATACAGCTTCCATAATGCAAGTGAATATGCAGTGTAATAGGACCACAGCGTAGTCTCCATCTCTGTGTGAACAGGTTCAGGTTTTTTTTTTCGTGTGTCATTTTTTTGGGGGCAAAAAGAAGGGGATGCTTTATACAACAAATGTTGCTCTCTCTCCATTGATGTGGGATGTTTTATACAACAAATGTTGCTCTCTCTCCATTGATGTGAGATGTTTTATACAACAAATGTTGCTCTCTCCCCATTGATGTGGGATGTTTTATACAACAAATGTTGCTCTCTCACTATTGATGTGGGATGTTTTAAACAACAAATGTTGCTCTCTCCCCATTGATGTGGGATGTTTTATACAACAAATGTAGCTCTCTCCCCATTGATGTGGGATGTTTTATACAACAAATGTAGCTCTCTCCCCATTGATGTGGAATGTTTTATACAACAAATGTAGCTCTCTCACTATTGATGTGGGATGTTTTATACAACAAATGTTGCTCTCTCCCCATTGATGTGTTATGTTTTATACAACAAATGTGGCTCTCTCACTATTGATGTGGGATGTTTTGTACAACAAATGTAGCTCTCTCCCCATTGATGTGGGATGTTTTATACAACAAATGTTGCTCTCTCACTATTGATGTGAGATGTTTTATACAACAAATGTAGCTCTTTCCCTGTTGATGTGACCTAAAGCTAGTATTACAAATCTGTTGTACGATATGTAAAGTACATGGATCTATACATCTTTAAGTCATCCTTCATGGCTAAATACTTCAGAACTTCCTTCAGAGTGACTAGTTATATTTTTTTTGCAGATACACAATGTGTATGGTGTATATAGCTCTTCACCTTGATGTATTACCCAATCTTACTTTATCTGCTATAGAAATTTACCTTTCTACCGCTTATATGCTAAAAAATCTAGGTTAGATTGTTAATTTCTAAGAAAGAAAAAAAAAAAAAAAACAACAGAAGTTCTGATAATACAAGTAGAAGAAAAAAAATCAACAGTTTTTTCGAAATTTTTAAGGCACAGGTTGTTGTATAAATCACATGGTAAGAACAGAGCTTCAGATATATAACATTGATGCACTAAATTAATAAACATTAATGAAGAATTCATGAAGAATGACAAAAAAAAATAAATTTGGCTAATATAATGCAGCTGATGAGCAAATACAGTTCTATTTGACATCTAAGTTTGGATATAGCCTGTCAAACAGAATTTGAAATTAAAGTAAGAACTGTTATGTCTTCAAAGGACAAATTCAATTCCAAGACATGAAATGAAACCCTGGATCTCAGACTCTTGTCGATCACGACACATTGTCACTATATTTTTTACTTCCAGGCAAAAGGGATTGTCAGCATTTAAAGTTCTTCCACACTAAAGGTTTATGTAATGTGAACCAGGTGCAAGGACACAGCTTTACACATAATTAATCGAGCTTTGGTAATGATATACCTAAACCATAGGTTACTTAATACGGCACCATCTGCTTAGTCTGTCATGCATCAATGACAATATAGTCTTAAACTGCAGTTGGTATTACCATTTAATAATTCTATATTGTACAATGAAAACCTTGACAGGGGGATACAGAAATATCGGTCAAAATACCCTGTCGCATGGAACTTCCGTGCACAGCTAAAATCACACCATTGGTCTAGTACTCTGATATTTTCACGATGACCTTCCGCCTCATAATGTTGACATGCGGTCAGTCAATGACAATATGATCATAATCCAAACTAAAATTAAACAAAATTATGGAAAAATATGATTATGAGCAAAAGAAAGTTTTACACATGAAAAAGAAAATGAAAAATAAGACCAGGTGTTCCACAGGAATATTCATATTTGATTTCACTTAATAACATTTCATGATGTCATAATCAAATATCTGCTGTGTATTTACATTTCTATTGCAAAGTGACCATGACCTTTGAAGTGACCAAGAAAAACTATTGAGAGCTAGCACTTACAGTGACAAAGCCATGGAGAAAGTTATGACCTTGACCTTTAACCTCTGGACTCAAAATCACTGATGATGATGATGATGATGATGATGATGATGATGATGATGATGATGATGATGATGATGATGATGATGATGATTATATCCTTTGAAAATAAAAAGGTACCCACCAAAAAATCAAACACTTCTAATAAGTTGTGCATATATACATGACATATCAAACTTCAGAAAGTATGATAAGTAAAAGTCAAGTGGTTGTGAAGTGTGTGCGTGTGGAAGGCAGACTATAGACGGGGTTATTGATGTATTGTATCATCATTACGACAGCTTTTTCTAAGTTTATGAGTGTGAAAGTCTCCATTTCTGAAAAGTAGTCGATGTACTCTGAATACTATCAGGGTGTGTTTTTAAAACTCAACATGAATGAATGCATTTCAAGATATTCCACTAAAAATTTGTAAACAGGAACAAAGCAGTAATTCAAACCAGAGAACATGTTACAAAGAACCATATGTGAAATAGTACCAGGGAGAATGTTCACCATAAAATGATAAAAAGATATACATAACAAGAAGAAGTATACAATGGGTCAGAACCTCAACATTATCACTATATTATTCCTCTTACTCTTATTTCTCAACATGCCCCAGTGATTCATACTATTGGGACATATTTACAGAATGCCTTCAACATTTGATTCTGATTTCTAACTACATGCAGTGTTTAAAGTTTCAAATCAGTCCTATTTACTTTGGAGTGGAGATCAATATGAATTGTTGGGTTATTTTTAGATCAATCTGATAAATATCGGTGTCAATAGCAATGTCAGTAACTGCATGTAAAAACAGCTATGTTTAGTGTCACCAGTTGTACAACTGGTAGTCTGCATTCCTGCTCATGCATCGAGACATTTGTCTGAAAAAATAAACTCTCAAACAAGCATTGTATTGATTGACAATGATTCAGGCTACTAAATATTACATTTCATAAAAACGTCGTGTTGTCTGTGGCAATATATGAACAACCATTTGTAAACAATCTCTGCAAATAAACCGACCATTTTCGTTTGACATTTCGGCATTTAAAGTGCCGGAGACAACAGCAGTAATCTGATAAACGAACAAGATTTAGCAGTCAGCTGTTCGAACTCTTCACCAACCTATAACACAAAGACCTTCCTCTAGTGTGATGCTGATAGTGATTCAGCGAGCTTGTGTTCCTAAAAAATACACACTCTCCTACAAATATTATCACTCCACAAAACGATACAGTGTGGTCTCACCTTTTTCTCAAATTTTGTCGCAATTTGACTCCCCAAAACGGCACTGTTTTCCTGTACAAACATTCACGTGAAGAATGAATACTTAGTGATGAGTCAAAGACATGGTTACATCCAGCACACAACAGCTTCGGTTCTATTAACGATCAATCTGCTTTCGTTTGCGGGGCCAGCAGACAGCGACAATACACTGACCCAGGGGGAGTAACTCTAAGCGTATTGCACCAAAAGCAGGTAGCCGCGACATAGACTTGTAGATGTTCTAAAAATGGTGACGGTGATTCAAGACACCAGTTGATACCATCGCTGAATTGCTAACCACAGCAGGCGATTCATCAGAAATCACACAGAAAGAATTAATGCAATGTGTCAAACTGCATGTTAATTATCTTAACTGTAGAATTTAAAATTCAAATTAATACAATTTGAAATTATTATCCTATGTTTTATTTTACACCACAACCACGCATACCAGTCACGGTTAAATGAAGAGGAAATTGTAAGAGAGAAATCTGCAATTTTCAACTATAGCGAAACAAGTGAATACAGCATTTATTCTTATTATTCATTTATTAGTATAAATTGTCGATCTTCACTAATGTTACATATGGGTTAAACATTTAAACCTGTTTACATACATAAATTTTGGAATATATGAATTTATTGATGCTATCAACATTTATATTATCGTTTATTTCTGTGGGGGATCATGGATCTAGACAGAGAAAATCATAAAGTAGGGTACACATCAGTATACAAGGTACCCCAAGGACATTCACATTACAGAGCCAGAGACATTGTTGGATTACATTGTACGTACTCAGAGACAATGTTGGATTTACAACATTGTACGTACTCCGAGACAATGTTGGATTACACTGTACGTACTCAGAAATATTGTTGGATTACCTTGTACATACTCAGAGACAATGTTGGATTACATTGTACGTACTCAGAGACATTGTTGGATTACATTGTACGTACTCAGAGACAATGAATGATTCACAACATTGTGCGTACTCCGAGACAATGTTGGATTACATTGTACGTACTCAGAGACAATGTTGGATTACATTGTACGTACTCAGAGACAATGTTGGATTACACTGTACGTACTCAGAGACAATGTTGGATTACATTGTACGTACTCAGAGACAATGTTGATTTACATTGTATGTACTCAGCGACAAAGTTGGATTACATTGTAGGTACTCAGACATTGTTGGATTACATTGTATGTACTCAGCGACAAAGTTGGATTACATTTTACGTACTCAGACATTGTTGGATTACATTGTATGTACTCAGAGACAATGTTGGGTTCATCACATTGTACGTACTCAGAGACAATGTTGGATTACGTTGTACATACTCAGAGACAATGTTGGATTCACAACATTGTACGTACTCACAGACATTGTTGGATTACACTGTACGTACTCCGAGACATTGTTGGATTACATTGTACGTACTCAGAGACAAAGTTGGATTACATTGTACATACTCAGTGACAATGTATGATTCACGACATTGTACGTACTCAGAGACAATGTTGGATTCACAACATTGTACATACTCCGAGACATTGTTGGATTACACTGTACGTATGTTGGATTACATTGTACGTACTCAGAGACAAAGTTGGATTACATTGTACATACTCAGTGACAATGTATGATTCACGACATTGTACGTACTCAGAGACAATGTTGGATTCACAACATTATACGTACTCCAAGACATTGTTGGATTACATTGTACGTACTCAGAGACATTGTTGGATTACATTGTATGTACTCAGACACAATGTTGATTTACATTGTATGTACTCAGCGACAAAGTTGGATTACATTGTAGGTACTCAGACATTGTTGGATTACATTGTATGTACTCAGAGACAAAGTTGGATTACATTTTACGTACTCAGACATTGTTGGATTACATTGTATGTACTCAGCGACAAAGTTGGATTACATTTTACGTACTCAGACATTCTTGGATTACATTGTACGTACTCAGAGACAATGTTGGATCACATTGTACGTATTCAGAGACAATGTTGGATTACACTGTATTTACTCAGAGACAATGTTGGATAACATTGCACTTACTCAAAGACAATGTTGGATTACATTACACTGTATGTACTCAGCGACAAAGTTGGATTACATTGTAGGTACTCAGACATTCTTGGATTACACTGTACGTACTCAGAGACATTGTTAGATTACATTGCATGTACTCAGTGACAATGTTGGATTACACTGTACGTACTCAGAGACATTATTGGATTACACTGTACGTACTCAGCGACAAAGTTGGATTACATTGTATGTACTCAGACATTCTTGGATTACATTGTACGTACTCAGAGACAATGTTGGATTACATTGTACGTACTCCGAGACAATGTTGGATTACATTGTATGTTCTTAGTGACAATATTGGATTACACGGTACGAACTCAGAGACAATGTTGGATTACATTGTTCTTACTCAGAGACAATGTTGGGATCATGACATTGTACATACTCAGAGACATTGTTTAATTACATTGTACGTACTCAGAGACATTGTTTAATTACATTGTACGTACTCCAAGGCATTGTTGGATTACATTGTACGTACTCAGAGACAATGTTGGGTTACATTGTACGTACTCAGAGACATTGTTGGATTACATTGTACGTACTTAGAGACATTGTTGGATTACATTGTACGTACTCCAAGGCATTGTTGGATTACATTGTACGTAATCAGAGACAATGTTGGATTACATTGTACGTACTCCAAGGCATTGTTGGATTACATTGTACGTACTCAGAGACAATGTTGGGTTACACTGTTCATACTCAGAGACAATATTGGATAACATTGTACGTACTCAGAGACATTATTGAATTACATTGTACGTACTCAGAGACAATGTAGATTTACATTGTATGTACTCAGTGACAAAGTTGGATTACATTGTAGGTACTCAGACATTGTTGGATTACATTGTATGTACTCAGCGACAAAGTTGGATTACATTTTACGTACTCAGACATTGTTGGATTACATTGTATGTACTCAGCGACAAAGTTGGATTACATTTTACGTACTCAGAGACAATGTTGGATCACATTGTACGTATTCAGAGACAATGTTGGATTACACTGTATTTACTCAGAGACAATGTTGGATTACATTGTACGTACTCAGAGACAATGTTGGATTCACAACATTGTACGTACTCACAGACATTGTTGGATTACACTGTACGTACTCAGAGACAATGTTGGATTACATTGTACATACTCAGTGACAATGTATGATTCACGACATTGTACGTACTCCGAGACAATGTTGGATTACATTGTACATACTCAGAGACAATGTTGGATTACATTGTACATACTCAGTGACAATGTATGATTCACGACATTGTACGTACTCAGAGACAATGTTGGATTCACAACATTGTACATACTCCGAGACATTGTTGGATTACACTGTACGTACTCAGAGACAATGTTGGGTTCATCACATTGTACGTACTCAGAGACAATGTATGATTCACGACATTGTACGTACTCAGAGACAATGTTGGGTTCATCACATTGTACGTACTCAGAGACAATGAATGATTCACAACATTGTGCGTACTCCGAGACAATGTTGGGTTACACTGTACATACTCAGAGACAATATTGGATTCACAACATTATACGTACTCCAAGACATTGTTGGATTACATTGTACCTACTCAGAGACAATGTTGGATCACATTGTATGTTCTCAGTGACAATATTGGATTACACGGTATGTACTCAGAGACAATGTTGGATAACATTGCACTTACTCCAAGACATTATTGGATTACATTACACTGTACGTACTCAGAGACATTGTTGGATTACATTGTACGTACTCAGAGACTATGTTGGGATCATGACATTGTACGTAATCAGAGACAATGTTGGATTACATTGTACGTACTCAGAGACATTGTTGGATTACATTGTACGTACTCAAAGACAATGTTGGGTTACACTGTACATACTCAGAGACAATATTGGATTCACAACATTATACGTACTCCAAGACATTGTTGGATTACATTGTACGTACTCAGAGACATTGTTGGATTACATTGTATGTACTCAGACACAATGTTGATTTACATTGTATGTACTCAGCGACAAAGTTGGATTACATTGTAGGTACTCAGACATTGTTGGATTACATTGTATGTACTCAGCAACAAAGTTGGATTACATTTTACGTACTCAGACAATGTTGGATTACATTGTATGTACTCAGCGACAAAGTTGGATTACATTTTACGTACTCAGACATTCTTGGATTACATTGTACGTACTCAGAGACAATGTTGGATCACATTGTACGTATTCAGAGACAATGTTGGATTACACTGTATTTACTCAGAGACAATGTTGGATAACATTGCACTTACTCAAAGACAATGTTGGATTACATTACACTGTATGTACTCAGCGACAAAGTTGGATTACATTGTAGGTACTCAGACATTCTTGGATTACACTGTACGTACTCAGAGACATTGTTAGATTACATTGCATGTACTCAGTGACAATGTTGGATTACACTGTACGTACTCAGACATTATTGGATTACACTGTACGTACTCAGCGACAAAGTTGGATTACATTGTATGTACTCAGACATTCTTGGATTACATTGTACGTACTCAGAGACAATGTTGGATGACATTGTACGTACTCCGAGACAATGTTGGATTACATTGTATGTTCTTAGTGACAATATTGGATTACACGGTACGAACTCAGAGACAATGTTGGATTACATTGTTCTTACTCAGAGACAATGTTGGGATCATGACATTGTACATACTCAGAGACATTGTTTAATTACATTGTACGTACTCAGAGACATTGTTTAATTACATTGTACGTACTCCAAGGCATTGTTGGATTACATTGTACGTACTCAGAGACAATGTTGGGTTACATTGTACGTACTCAGAGACATTGTTGGATTACATTGTACGTACTTAGAGACATTGTTGGATTACATTGTACGTACTCCAAGGCATTGTTGGATTACATTGTACGTAATCAGAGACAATGTTGGATTACATTGTACGTACTCAGAGACATTGTTGGATTACATTGTACGTACTCCAAGGCATTGTTGGATTACATTGTACGTACTCAGAGACAATGTTGGGTTACACTGTTCATACTCAGAGACAATATTGGATAACATTGTACGTACTCAGAGACATTATTGAATTACATTGTACGTACTCAGAGACAATGTAGATTTACATTGTATGTACTCAGTGACAAAGTTGGATTACATTTTACGTACTCAGACATTCTTGGATTACATTGTACATACTCAGAGACAATGTTGGATTACATTGTACGTTCTCCGAGACATTGTTGGATTACACTGGACGTACTCCAAGACTTTGTTGGATTACACTGTACGTACTCAGAGACATTATTGGATTACATTGTACGTACTCAGAGACAATGTTAGATTACATTGTACGTACTCAGAGACATTGTATGATTCACGACATTGTATGTACTCAGAGACAATGTTGGATTACATTGTACGTACTCAGAGACAATGTTAGATTACATTGTACGCACTCAGAGACAATATTGGATTACATTGTACGTATTCTGAGACAATGTTGATTTACATTTTACGTACTCAGACATTCTTGGATTACATTGTACGTACTCAGAGACAATGTTGGATTACACTGTACGTTCTCCGAGACATTGTTGGATTACATTGTACGTACTCAGAGACAATCTTGGATTCACGACATTGTACATACTCCGAGACATTGTTGGATTACATTGTACGTACTCAGAGACAATGTTGGATTACATTGTACATACTCAGAGACATTGTTGCATGACATTGTACGTAATCAGAGACAATGTATGATTCACAACATAGTATGTACTCAGAGACATTGTTTGATTCATGACATTGTACGTACTCAGAGACATTGTTGGATTACATTGTACGTATTCAGAGACAATGTTGGATAACATTGCACTTACTCCAAGACAAAGTTGGATTACATTGTAGGTACTCAGACATTCTTGGATTACATTGTACGTACTCAGAGACATTGTATGATTCACGACATTGTATGTACTCAGAGATAATGTTGAATTACATTGTATGTACTCAGAGACAATGCTTGATTACATTCATTGTATGTACTCAGAGACAATGTTGGATTCACAACATTATACGTACTCAGCGACAAATTTGGATTACATTTTACGTACTCAGACATTCTTGGATTACATTGTACGTACTCAGAGACATTGTTGGATTACATTGTACGTACTCAGAGACAATGTTGGATTCACAACATTGTACGTATTCAGATACAATGTTGGATTAAATTGTACGTACTCAGAGACAATGTTGTATTCACAACGTTGTACGTACTCCGAGACATTGTTGGGTGGCATTGTAAGCACTCCGATACAAATAGTGAATTTGCAAATTTGAATAAATGATATCCATTTGATTTTATCCTTTTATTCCTGAAATAAGTGGCATTAATAAGTAAAAGCATATGATATAATGATATAACAAAAGTTCAAATTAATCATTTCATTTTTTTTTATTATTAGTAAATGATATGACATTGCCACGTAATTTGATAAGTTATGACACTAATCTATTTTAATTATGCTACATTTTGTAAATGTTTGATAAAACTAGGTGGACTACTGTAAATGATTTGCAAAGTATTTTAGCATTGAATGAATTTCTGTTGACATTCATGGGGATATGAATGCAAACATGATAAAGGCAAATCTATCTCTCCTTCATCTATCAATTACCATAGAAGCAAGTAATTTTGCATTGAAAACGAAATACATCGTTTTCTATTAGTGTTTATAAATGTCTTTAAATGATGACCAGTGCCATGTTTGAGAAATTGATATTGATAAAACGGAACCAAATATCACTAGATGACAATCTTATTACTTATTAAGTTGTTTATTTATAAATACACTCATTAAAACTGAGGAGAGTGGTCTTGCATCTACCATATAAATGTATCTCCACCAAATTACTTCTTAAATTAGAATTGTGCAATGTTACTTCGAAACAAACTATCTATTTTTTATGTGCGTGTTGGGACCACAATTATGTCAATTTTCATTAACTATATACAAGTTTCGACACGAAAGCTTTCGGGCCATTTAAATGGGAATGGATTGAAAACCTTTCCAAAGCGATTGTTTAGTCACCATGTAATTTATGTTTATGGGTATATAGTAACAATGATTCCATTTCAAGTTCGTTTGAATGGGACAGTTCGCACCTCTGACGTAAATAATATTTTTTCGACATGTTTTTTTTTTACCGTGGGTCAAACGGGTTAACATTGCCGGAAATCCTTTTCGTCTTTTGTTGTTTAGTTTCAACCTAAAAATTAACAACATCCGGGCAACTCCAAGTGGTGTCGGCCATATTGGAATAAAAGTAAACAGAGTTTTCGGCATTGCGTGCAGAAAAAAACGGAAATTTATATTGAACAACGAAGATTAAGGAGACAGCCCTTAATATGACTTCAAAAGATCATCTAGAGACTCGTATTCTGCAATAAGAAAGAATATTTATTTGTTTTCTTATTGCAGAAGGGATCGATATCCGAGCTGAACCATGAACTCGCACAACTTGTTTCCGAGGCTCTGCTCGATCTTTTGTGTTTTCAGTCTCGCACTATCGTTTCAAATAAGTGGTAAGTTCATCCGATCAGCATTGTAAGGTCTTTGATAGGTTTAACTTCATTGTTTATGTGTTAGAAAAGGTAATTGCCCCATCAGTATGAGGTAGTCTTTGGATACAGCAGTAGCAAAACGGTAATGTCAAGCCTGTATGTATCGTGTATTTGACCCGGCCAGGGACAAACCCCACTATAACCGTACCGAACTCAGTAACAGATATGTGACACCAGATATTTTAGTCATATTTTATTAAATGAACCATTCAACAGCAATATTTTTGTCGTATGTATTGTTTTGAGCTGTAAAACTTTGACCAAAATGCAAAATCAAGTAAAGATCAAAGATGGTGATATTCTGAAATGTAGGTGTCTGATTATGAGAAGACTTAATATTGATAGAATTACTCTTTTGACATTCATCAATCCTAGCTGTTTTGGTAGAATACAACACTTAAATAACTAAATCGAAGTAAATTCTTCCTACATGTTGATGGTCTTAAAGCTTACCTTAAGGTTTATGAGAAGTAAGTAGACACTTTATTAAACATATCATTTTGCAACTCTAGAATGAATGACATTATATATCTTATTTAGAGATGACATTTTCCTAGTACAAACCATCTAATCTTTTGAATAAAGTGTCAAATCCACACATCCTTGATATTCCAGGGGTTACAATCACTTTCGTTCCCTACATTCCTGGAACATGTCATGGCAAAATTGATAAGCTAATCAATTTGATTAGGCTGGAGAGGGTTCCAGAAAAAAACCTGACAAAAACAGACTTTGGAGATTACAAAGAAGAGACCCAACTTCAAAGCCATTACAACGTTATGCGGTCTCGAGATTCATTTGATGTACAACAAAGATCAAACTAGTCTTTTCGTCTTGTACACAAAGTGTTGCAAATGGAACCTTCAATTTTGCCATGCCATGTTCCAGAGGTGCAGAGAATCCCTAGAGCATCAAGGATTTTGAGTTAATTTTGACAAGTTAAAATGAAATGATGTACATATTTTCTGTTAAAATGACCCTCAACATTTAATATTAAAAATGGCATTTCAAAAATGTCAAATTAGGAAAATATCTAATTGAGAGAAACCAAGAAGCGATGGCCAGAACAACAGCACTATTGTAAGAACATCACATGGTAATGTAAATGTGAAGTATCTTTTGTGACACAAAACAAACATCAGGTTATGTGGGTTATGGTACACATTGAACCTTCAACTTGCTTTCAACACGATCCATTACTGTTAAATTGGCATGGCTCAGCAGATCTCATTAGCATATGCTATAAATTTCATTTATGGTGTTTTTTCTTTGACAGCTGGATCAACTATTGAGGGAAAGACGTCTGAAGTGCCAAAGTTACGCTGTGTTGTGTATAAAGATCGATGTAACAGTAGCATTGAGCACTGCGAAACAGTTCAGGAATGTGATGCGGAAATGCCACACTGTTTCTCGGCATGGCGTAACACCTCCAATGGTATAGACATTATGAGACAGGGCTGCTGGACAGACAAGGATATGTGTGATCAGGAAAACTGCATCCAGAGTCAGGAAATCACAAGTGTGCTATTCTGTTGTTGTAACAAACCCCTGTGTAATCAAGACATTACACCAATGAACTACCCTCCCACCACCACACCCAGCACTATAGGTACAGGTAGGTCATTTGTTTCTAAAGTGTTGTATACATATATAATGACATGTCTTATTCACTGACCTTGCTAGTTTTTCAAATTGGAGGCTGACCACCTAGCCACATAATCAGGGCCTAGCTTGGTGACTGAGGGATGGACCCTGGTAAATGGTTGGTTAAGATGAGGTCATTTTACAGATAATTAAGTAGTTATAACCATGTTTATACTAGGTTTATACTACGAATTCAGTCAAATAACAAATTCAGCAAGAAAATGGTTTGAAAAACAATCTTTATGATGAAACAGTATGCAAGCACTCCTCAATCAATACCAATGATGATGGTGGGCTATTTAAATCACTCAGTGTTTGTGGTCCTTCAGTCTGTGGTCTGTCAGTCTGTAAACAATTTTTCTCGTGAGAATTTTGGAAAGTTGGCAGGTATGTATTTCCCTTTGAAATATTGTCTCAATTTTTTAAGAATATCATGCTATAGATACTTAATTGGTGAACATGATGACATGTCATTCTGGATGTAAGTCAAAATAATGTAAGAATTTCAAGTAGACATCTGTTGAGCAGCTTGTTTGCATTTTGTTGGTGATCTGTTTAAATTCTTAATGCAATTGTTTTTCTTTTTTGGCAGATACCTCATCAACAAAGACAAATCCGCCAGAGGATAAATTATTAAAAACTCTACTTTACTCCATAGTTCCTATTATTGTCCTCGTCATAATCATCATTGGCGTCTTTTTCATGTGGAGATTCTACTTCAAAGAAAACAGGTAAAAAGACCATATTCTTAGGCAGTGGTTTGGTTCCAGTTCGTTGTATGCATTTGTAACAGGATCTAAAGATGCCCAGTTTGTAAAAACTGCACAGTAGGACAGGTGTTGGTTTGAGGTTTTTTGAAATGATTACAGTAACACTGTAAATATACAAAACATATCTACAATTAATTATACACAAAATAACCTCACACTCAAATCTTTTCATGTAAGTAAACTGAGTTCATTTGTTGCCGCTGTACAACACAGAACGATAACTGTTCAAGTTCCTCACAAAAATAATGTTATATGTAGCTATACTGTGGTACAACATTCTCCCTTGTAATTTCCCATGTACATGTTACTCAGAAGTGTATAAACATGTACCCTGTCAGGTTTGTTCTGGGAATCGAACCCCGGGGTGGGGTGGGGGGTGGTCGAGGTGAAAGGCGAGTGTGTTACCACTGTGCCATCCAAATACATGTCCCTCACCATATACAGACATTAGTAATCTGGCTCTGACCTGCTAGCATACTTTCCAGCTGTACTTATGATAATGAAAAGCTTCTCTGATAAATGAGTCGCACTAATTGGTAACTACAGTTGACCATTACTCCTGTAGCACCTTGACCTATCTGTGACCCAGCATCTGTGACTGACTTAGATTGTTTGATGTTCTTGTTCTGAAGATATGGTGATAGAAGTCTGGATGGGTTGACCAACTTCAGTCTGTGATGGAAAGCTTCAAAATACAACACATACAAATATGACGATTTCTCTGTACTCTCAATAACAAAAAGGTCCAGGCTGTTGATTCTTTAATATAAGTGGATGAATTGCTACCAATTTGTTCAAATAATTGACTGACCTATAGTCAAGAATTCTTGGGTTAAGTGAGTTGAGATCTTAAAATTTCGTTTTCAGCAAGCTATAGGTTCGGAGTAATGGCATTTCTGCAGTAGCGTGTATAAAGAATATCATTTCATGTTTCATTTCATGTAGTGATACCCTAACTGTAGTGATACCCCACCTGTAGTGATACCTGTAGTGATATCTGTAGTGATACCTGTAGTGATATCTGTAGTGATACCCTACCTGTAGTGATACCCCACCTGTAGTGATACCCAACCTGTAGTGATACCTGTAGTGATACCCAACTGTAGTGATACCCTACCTGTAGTGATACCCCACCTGTAGTGATACCCTACCTGAAGTGATACCCCACTTGTAGTGATACCCTACCTGTAGTGATACCTGTCAGGGCTAGCTCTGGGTCAAAATTCAGTTTCGCCAAACCAAATTTTTTTTGCTATAAGCGCGCGAACAGATTCCGGAACTCGCCCTCATCCTCACCCGACGAGCCCTTAATTCCCTCATATAATAATAACACATATGCTAATTATATAATTACATTATTTATTCACTGTTTTAACAACAATACATCAAACATAATACAGTATATGGTAAAAGAGTTTATAAACATGAAATTATTACAGGCCTTCTGCATCTCGACAGTTTGCTGTTGTATTGCCAAAGCAGCAGAGTCAGAGTTCTCATCTGTAAAATTGAAAATAAAATTTAGAATAGAATTGGACGTTTGCAGAGAGACACAGGATTACATCGAACCTTATTTTACACCATCAAAGTATTATACTTATTACAGTAACTTCCTAAGTAATATATCTCTTAAAAACACTTCAGAGATAATAAAGACATAATCGTTAAACTAAAAGATTGTGTTTCTAATTCATGTGCCAAGCAGGCTGTAATGAGTAACTACATTGTACCATCCTCCAGGCTGTTTAGTATTTCTGAATTACTTAATCTAAATTTACATAATTTTCTGTTCATAAATGATGAATAGTTGTATATACCTGATCCTTTCTCATGCTTAACCAAGCACTCTTTCTTACTGCAGCCATCAGTGAAACTATTTCTAACTAATGCCTTCATACGTATGTCACAAAACATGAGCTTTTGCTCTGGGTCATATTTTAGCCATGGCCTGCCAATTTTTCAACTATTTAGAAACTTTCTTGAACTACTGCCCTTGTTAGTAACCTGATCAGGGCTGTCATTTTCCTTTTCAATAGATGGTGTCTTAAAACCAAATGATGACAATCTGGGTACTTTCCCATCCCTATCACTAAAGGGTAGTTTACGTTTTCCCATTTCATCTAACGATCTATCTTAGTGAAGGGCCAAATCTGATGTGACCAAAATTTGTACAAAAATATAAAACAAAATCGGCAACATAGTGTAAAAACAACAAAATTATACTTATGTTTCTTGTTATTTTAATAGTCGATCAAAAAGGTTAAGAAGCCTATTTCGGGCCCTTTCAAATACACTAGTTTACTAAGTTATGTCTGCAGAAATCACAAACTCGTGCCCAATTAACGACATCGACACACCTAATGATCGACCTACCGTAAGCCAATTCCCGATAAAACAACATCTTTCCTTCAGCTAACTTACCTTATTGTTCACGGCAGAGGCTATCTCGGATTGAGACAATGGAGACATCATTGGATAATTGGCGATGTTGCTGTTTAGACAGGTAAACGTTGCTGTCAAAACACAAAAGAGTTCCGATAGCTGACCTTGCCCCAGCTGCGGAAGTCAGTCAGCCGTGACCGTGTAGTACACAACGATGTCGGAGCAAAATTTACCTGTGTCACTCGTTACAAATAAGTTAAACGCCACTGATTTTTCTCTATACAGTCATCAGTGACTGGAAATGTCTCTAATCGGCATTTTCGCCAATAGAAATTTGAAATCGCCAATCTCATTTCACTTTTGCCAATGGCGCCATTGGCGATCGCCAGCGCGAGCCCTACCTGTAGTGATATCTGTAGTGATACCCTACCTGTAGTGATACCCCACCTGTAGTGATACCCCACCTGTAGTGATACCTGTAGTGATACCCAACTGTAGTGATACCCTACCTGTAGTGATACCCTACCTGTATTGATACCCTACCTGTAGTGATACCCCACCTGTAGTGATACCCTACCTGAAGTGATACCCCACTTGTAGTGATACCCTACCTGTAGTGATACCTGTAGTGATACCCTACCTGTAGTGATACCTGTAGTGATACCCCACCTGTAGTGATGTATGTAGTGATACCTGTAGTGATACCCTACCTGTAGTGATACCTCACCTGTAGTGATACCCTACCTGGAGTGATACCCTACCTGTAGTGATACCCCACCTGTAGTGATACCTGTAGTGATACCCCACCTGTAGTGATGTATGTAGTGATACCTGTAGTGATACCCTACCTGTAGTGATACCCCACCTGTAGTGATACCTGTAGTGATACCCTATCTGTAGTGATACCCCACCTGTAGTGATACCTGTAGTGATACCCTATCTGTAGTTATACCCCACTTGAAGTGATACCCCACCTGTAGTGATACCCTACCTGTAGTGATACCTGTAGTGATACCCTATCTATAGTGATACCCTACCTGTAGTGATACCCCACCTGTTGTGATACCTGTAGTGATACCCCACCTGTAGGGATACCCTACCTGTAGTGATACCCCACCTGTAGTGATATATGTAGTGATACCCTATCTGTAGTGATACCCTACCTGTAGTGATACCCCACCTGTTGTGATACCTGTAGTGTTACCCCACCTGTAGGGATACCCTACCTGTAGTGATACCCCACCTGTAGTGATATATGTAGTGATACCTGTAGTGATACCCTACCTGTAGTGATACCCTACCTGTAGTGATACCCTACCTGTAGTGATAGCCCACCTGTAGTGATAGCCCACCTGTAGTGATACCCTACCTGTAGTGATACCCTACCTGTAGTGATACCCCACCTGTAGTGATAGCCCACCTGTAGTGATACCCTACCTGTAGTGATACCCTACCTGTAGTGATACCCCACCTGTAGTGATAGCCCACCTGTAGTGATACCCTACCTGTAGTTATACCCTACCTGTAGTTATACCCTACCTGTAGTGATACCCCACCTGTAGTGATACCTGTAATTTTATATGTGGTGATACCTGTAGTGATATATGTAGTGATACCTGTAGTGATACCCCACCTCTAGTGATACTTGTTGTGATACCTGTAGTGATACCTGTAGTGATACCCCACCTGTAGTGATACCTGTAGTGATACCCCACCTGTAGTGATACCTGTAGTGATACCCCACCTGTAGTGATACCTGTAGTGATACCCTACCTGTAGTGGTACCCTACCTGTAGTGATACCCCACCTGTAGTGATAGCCCGCCTGTAGTGATACCCTACCTGTAGTCCTACCTGTAGTGACACCCCACCTGTAGTGATATCTGTAGTGATACCCTACTTGGAATTGATTATGTGACATACCTGCTTCACCCAGTCAACAAACAAACTAGGTTTAAGGGTAACTGCTGTTCTTGGTAGAGGGAAGGGGCGAATGGAATGGAAACAGTGCTGTCTGTTACATTTGAACAACTTACGACATATTAAACAAACATTTACAGCATAAATCTCAGAATAAAGAGAATGTACAAAACTTAAATGAAAACAGAATGTACAGAACTTTCAATGAAAACAGAATGTACAAAACTTAAATGAAAACAGAACGTACAAAACTTTTAATGAAAACAGAATGTACAAAACTTTTAATGAAAACAGAATGTACAAAACTTAAATGAAAACAGAATGTACAAAACTTTTAATAAAAACAGAATATACAAAACTTTTAATGAAAACAGAATGTACAAAACTTTTAATGAAAACAGAATGTACAAAACTTTTAATGAAAACAGAATGTACAAAACTTTTAATGAAAACAGAATGTACAAAACTTCAATGAAAACAGAACATACAAAACTTTTAATGAAAACAGAATGTACAAAACTTTTAATGAAAACAGAATGTACAAAACTTTTAATGAAAACAGAATTTACAAAACTTTTAATGAAAACAGAATGTACAAAACTTTTAATGAAAACAGAATGTACAAAACTTCAATGAAAACAGAACATACAAAACTTTTAATGAAAACAGAATGTACAAAACTTTTAATGAAAACAGAATGTACAAAACTTATATGAAAACAGAACGTACAAAACTTTTAATGAAAACAGAATGTACAAAACTTTTAATGAAAACACAAGGTACAAAACTTAAATGAAAACAGAATGCAAAAACTTTTAATGAAAACAGAATGTACAAAACTTTTAATGAAAACAGAATGTACAGAACTTTTAATGAAAAGAGAATGTCCAAAACTTTTAATGAAAACAGAATGTACAAAACTTCAATGAAAACAGAATGTACAAAACTTTTAATGAAAACAGAATGTACAAAACTTTTAATGAAAACAGAATGTACAGAACTTTTAATGAAAAGAGAATGTCCAAAACTTTTAATGAAAACAGAATGTACAGAACTTTTAATGAAAAGAGAATGTACAGAACTTTTAATGAAAACAGAATATACAAAACTTTTAATGAAAACAGAATGTACAGAACTTTTAATGAAAAGAGAATGTCCAAAACTTTTAATGAAAACAGAATGTACAAAACTTCAATGAAAACAGAATGTACAAAACTTTTAATGAAAACAGAATGTACAAAACTTTTAATGAAAACAGAATGTACAAAACTTCAATGAAAACAGAATGTACAGAACTTTTAATGAAAACAGAATGTACAAAACTGAAATGGAAACAGAATGTACAAAACTTTTAATGAAAACAGAATGTACAGAACTTTTAATGAAAAGAGAATGTCCAAAACTTTTAATGAAAACAGAATGTACAAAACTTCAATGAAAACAGAATGTACAAAACTTTTAATGAAAACAGAATGTACAAAACTTTTAATGAAAACAGAATGTACAGAACTTTTAATGAAAAGAGAATGTCCAAAACTTTTAATGAAAACAGAATGTACAGAACTTTTAATGAAAAGAGAATGTACAGAACTTTTAATGAAAACAGAATATACAAAACTTTTAATGAAAACAGAATGTACAGAACTTTTAATGAAAAGAGAATGTCCAAAACTTTTAATGAAAACAGAATGTACAAAACTTCAATGAAAACAGAATGTACAAAACTTTTAATGAAAACAGAATGTACAAAACTTTTAATGAAAACAGAATGTACAAAACTTCAATGAAAACAGAATGTACAGAACTTTTAATGAAAACAGAATGTACAAAACTGAAATGGAAACAGAATGTACAAAACTTTTAATGAAAACAGAATGTACAAAACTTTTAATGAAAACAGAATGTACAAAACTTAAATGAAAACAGAATGTACAAAACTTTTAATGAAAACAGAATGTACAAAACTTAAATGAAAACAGAATGTACAAAACTTCAATGAAAACAGAATGTACAAAACTTTTAATGAAAACAGAATGTACAAAACTTTTAATGAAAACAGAATGTACAAAACTGAAATGAAAACAGAATGTACAAAACTTTTAATGAAAACAGAATGTACAAAACTTAAATGAAAACAGAATGTACAAAACTTTTAATGAAAACAGAATGTACAAAACTTTTAATGAAAACAGAATGTATGAAACTTTTAATGAAAACAGAATGTATGAAACTTCAATGAAAACAGAATGTACAAAACTTCAATGAAAACAGAATGTACAAAACTTCAATGAAGACAGAATGTACAAAACTTAAATGAAAACAGAATGTACAAAACTTATATGAAAACTGAATTAACAAAAACATAAAACAGAATTAACAAAAACATGAAAAAACTGAAAAAAATATGGTTTCAGTGTTGAAATTTTACCTTTACAATTTTAAAAAGGAATATAGTTTAAATATGGTGTTTAGTATGAAATGATCTTTGTTGTGCTTTGGTTTAATTTATAGTATGACCATGTACTGTTATGTTGGTAGATACATGCAGCATCACCAACTCTCCACGGGTGACCCGGAGCTTGATCTTCCTCCTTCACCACATCCTCTTCGCCCAGTACAACTGGAAGAGGTCCGGGCACATGGACGTTTTGGAGTTGTCTGGAAAGGGGTCATGAGTGATCAAGTTGTAGCTGTCAAAATCATGCCATTTAAGGAACGCTCATCCTGGATGACTGAACAGGAGATCTATAAGCTACCTCACATGAAGCATGAAAATCTACTTGCGTTTATTGGTGCGGAAAAGCGTGATGAGAATCTCTGGCTGATCTCGGTGTTCCATGAATATGGATCGCTGTCAGACTACCTCAAAGGCAATACCATCACTTGGAGTGAGCTCTGCAAGATTGCAGAAACCATGACCAATGGCTTGGCATATTTGCATGATGAGATCCCACCAGCTCGTGGGATGGAAGGAAAGCCATCTATAGCTCATCGGGATTTCAAGAGTAAGAATGTGCTCTTGAAAGACGACTTGACTACTTGTATTGCTGATCTGGGTTTGGCAATCAAGTTTGAACCAGGCAAAAGCCCAGGAGAAACCCATGGTTTGGTATGTGTGTTTTAAGCTTGCATTTTGTTAGAAAATTCACTGTGTGTTTTAACATAAAGTTAGTCAAATTTTGTCATGTCTTGGCTGAGAAAAAATTGATTTAAGATATTCCTGTGATAATTATAAATCTATATACTTAAGATTTTTTTCAAAAATGTTTTCTTAGATGTGTTGTGATGTGGCAATGGGTGTCAACACTTCCCACTGCCCCATCTTTAAGGTCACGGGTCAAATTTAAAATCTTCAAATAACTTCTAATCAACCAAAAAGTTGCTTGTAGGTTCTTGGGAAATTGCCTCGAACCATGGTATAGTTCACAGGAATCAAATTTTTAAAGCTCCTCTGAGTAACAAAAAGACAAAAGAATCAAGATATGTAGCTTGTAAATTTCAGGTATTTAACATCATATCAATAAATATATGAAATGTTAATGTTTCTGTGAGAAGCATTAAGCAGTGCAGGCTCCCCAGGCCCCTTCCTCCATTTGTTTATATCTGTTTTTTGTGCATCGGTGATTGGTCTCCATGCTACAGAAACAACTACCAAGACCAAGTTGTTCTTGCCCGTCTTCAGATGAGCCATACATACCTTACACATTCATATACATTTAAAAGGCGAATATAAACCTCGGTGCATAGGATGTGATGAGCCATTCACTGTTAAACATTTTTTATTGGACTGCATTGACCTTCTGTCTGCTTGAGAATTTAATGTTACAAGTCTAAAGACCATTTTTTGAAACTGTTGAGATTTGTAAAATTCTAGGTTGTCTGAAAGATGTTGGTCTTTATAATACATTATAACATACCATTTTAATCTTTTGTGATGATATACCTATATAAAATTTTTAGCATTTGTCTTTTACCTTTCAATGTGATGTTATTTGATGTTATTTCCTTTTTGAATCGCGGTGCGTTTTACCGGTCGATGGCTCTTATGACCTTTTGCTTGTTTATGGGCCGTTAAGAATGTAATAATCATAATAATAATTGTAGAAAAATATGTATTATTCAATAACTTCAGGTGGGGACAAGGCGTTACATGGCTCCAGAAGTTTTGGAAGGTGCAATCAGTTTTAACAGAGATGCTTTCTTGCGTATTGACATGTACGCATGTGGCCTTGTGATGTGGGAACTCCTGTCACGGTGTTCAGGATCAGATGGCCCAGTGGAGGACTACCAGCTGCCGTACGAGGAGGAGATTGGCTCACACCCAACACTTGAAGATATGCAGGAGTTGGTGGTGATGAAGAAGATTCGTCCCACCATAAAGGATTATTGGATGCGACACGTGGTGAGTTTGGAATGACAACCATCATCACCCATCCACACAAGTTACTTCAATGATTTTAGAACAATTAAGAAACAAGCTATGATATCTCAATGATCAATCTTCTATGAGTACAAATTTGTTGGACAATGTATAATGTGTAATTTAGAGCTAGAATCTGTTTGGACAAATGTCTGGGTAAAAACTTGTGGGAGAAAAATGCTTTCAATACTTTAATTTAAAATAAGCACATTTATTTATGAAATGTATTTTGGGCCAATTATAAATATAGTACTTACATTGCCACACGATGTCATTTCAGTACTCAAACACAATCATTCGGTCATTTACAGAAGATCCGACTTTCTAAATATCTTTATACTATACTGTAAAGAGTTCAATTTTGATTTTTTTTAAAATAAATTTTCACTTGAAGACTTGAAATGCCTTAGTCAGGTTAATAACCTTTAACAAGATTCATGACCTTGTAGGATAAGATAAAAAAAAACTGTGTGTAGTTTACTACTGGAGATAACTATTCTTCATTTAACATTACAGGGACTGGAGGCACTGATCCCCACTATAGAGGAATGTTGGGATCAGGATGCAGAGGCACGGGTGTCGGCTGATTGTGTCCACGAACGTCTCCTACAGATTGGTCGCACACTCAACGTATCTAACTCAACTAACCACCTACTCTGTCCCAACCAGGAAACAACCCACTACCAAATATCCACCATCTCATCGTAGCTCAAACTCTGCCAAAGTGGGGAGGGGAAAGTAATGGCAGTACAAAAGGGACAAGGGAGGGAAAGGGAAGGGCAGTGCAAGTCAAAGGGGAAGGGTTAGGGTAGGGCTGTACATTACACAACAGATTTTTAGAGGCAAGAGAATGGATTTATTGACAATGCTGGGGAAACGAGGGTGAAAGCCAAGGTTGTAACTAGTGAAAAAGGACACTACAGTACCTACATATATATAGAGCTTCTCAAATCATAATGCTACAGCGACAATAGACGCTTTAATGAATTATAGAGTTTTGTGATTTAATTGTTGTGTATTATGAATCACATCCCACCTCAGGAGCTATATGACAATGTGGGATTTCGCCTCTCTCATTATATACAGAGGAGACGACCAGTTATACAGGTGACAGACGTACAAGAGGTGCAGAACAGACAATTCTGATACACGGATGAACAATGGGTCCAGGGATTCAAGCATTATAGCAGCTGTAATGCTAAGTGTAAGGAACTGTTGAATATGAAGAGGGGAAAATAGCATTTCAGAGGAAGAAACTTATTCTTAATGACAGAAACAAATTGTGCAAAGCAGTATCTAGATGTCATTGTTCATCAGGATAATTAGCTGCCAAGTAAATTTTTTTTTTTTTTAAGTTTCATTGTCTGAAATAGTGGTCCTGACCTGATATTAAAGGGCATGTTTTATATAGTCAAAACATTTTCAATTTAAAGAAATCTTCAGAAATATATTATTAACTCTGTGGATCACTATGGGTCAGGAGAATTTTTTTTAGTGCATATTGCCGTAAGAATTACGTTATTATCTATACATAATGTTTTTAGGATCATTCTCATAAGATACCATGTTCATGTTATTGTTCATCAATTCAACATTTAAAATTGTTCAAGACTTTCTGAACCTGTTGAACAAGTGTTCATAGACGTTGGTTGGTATTTGAACAGGGGTCTAGTTGATAAACTGTTTTATATGTATTTGTGGCCAAGTTGGATCACGAGTTTGTTTTGTGTTTGTTGTAACTCATCTACGTGTTCCGTGACATAGAGCATTGTATCTAGGCTTTGTGTTGTGGCTGTCGTTCTCTAGGTTTTAATCACATACCAGAGCAGACTGATTATGAGTATTGGAAATATCAAATTCAGGTATTTAAACAAACTTTTGCCAAAACATGTCTGTTATAAAGAATACTTTAAGAATCTGCTGGGGATGTTTTTTCTTGGCAGCCATAGTAATTAATTGCTCTTTTTCTCTCAAGTCTGCATAACGGAATTAGACAACCCAAAATATTGTGATAAAATCAAAGGGGAGAACTTGGCATTGTTAACTTCAATATGAGTGCTCATCATCATCATCATATCATCATCATATCATCATATCACCATCATCATCACCATCATCATCATCATCTCATCATCATCATTTTCTTCTTCTTCTTCATTATCATTTTTATGATCGTCTTCATCATCATATCATCATATCACCATCATCATCATTACCATCATCATCATCATCATCATCATCATCATCAATGATATTTGACATGAATACCTCATACATTTACTTGTTATAAACATGTTTTTCTCTTTCGATTTCCCTTCCTCCCATCCACCTCACCAGTGTTGATACAACCAGTAGAACAGTGTCGGATGATAAATGCTATTCTTGGAGCTCAACCTTCATCTAGTTATGTGTCATATGTAATTAATATGTACAGTTGTTGTTGTATCCCTTCTGTCTGGTTAAACTTAGAAACTAATTTTAATATACCTCATGTAAATGGCATAATCTATATACCTCATGTAATAAGACAGATTTACAATGGTTACAAATCAAATACAAGGTGTGAATTGTTTTATCTAAATTAAAGAATTTGGATGAAAATATGTTGATAAGTATAGCAGAGCACAATATGATTCTTAGTGCTGATGCTAAGGACCTTGGATGTGGATCTTTTATAAAAACGACAAACATTGACATCGTACTTATCGTGTACGTATTTTGATTTCTATATGAACACCCATGTACATATTTCTATCTACAATCAAATTAAAACTCGTGAAGCCATATGTAACTATTTTCCAATTTTAACCAGACAAGAAAATCACCCCTCTCCTAATTCCATCTTTAGACATTTTAAATTATGTGTCGAAAGAGGAGCAATTCAGACCCTTGTATATTTGTTTATTCATTAAGAAACATAATTTATTTCTCCAGCATTTGTAAATAGCAACAGGAGAGAATGATTAGCTAGTACTTGTTTGATGTTAATTATTCTGTATTCAGTTGTGTCACAGTTTTCTTGTTCTGTAAAAAGTGCTGTCACTGATAACATCTTAAAATAATTCTTTTTTAATAGAAAGGATAAAAAAACCCACACTTTTTATCATTATTCTTTCTTATTTTCACTCAATAATATGTTGAGTTGAAATTGATTTCTTTTTAAATGTATGTTATCAAGGGCAGACCGTGGAGGAGGTTAGAACTGCACATTATCAATTTGTAATGAGATGATGCATTTTAAAATTCAAACTTTTACTTTTTATTTCCCACTCCAAAAATAACATAATTATTCTGATTTCACACTGTACAATATTTTTAATCTTTTTGAGTTTTTACGTTTTTAGTTGTAACATTCTGAATCCTCCCCAGGTGATGTACAGTCTGCAGAGAATTCCCTGTGAAATTCCCATAGAAAGGATGGATTGTAAGGAAACTCCTTACCTTCCATATTTGATCTTTCTTATGGATTTAGGGAAGTATCTCTTGAGAATTTCATTGAAAAAAGGGTTAAACTGGGACTAAATGTACCAAAATGTTATGTGGAAATGACAGAAGGAAAGTGACACAAATATGTCCAAGTGACGATATATGTTGTATATTTGTTAAAATTGTTTGTGAAAAAAGCTGTGAAAAAAATTCATTCTTTTTAAATAACCTGATTTGCATATTATTACAAGAGTTTTCATCATATCACTTTTAATTTTGAATGACTTTTTAAGGTTATATTTATGCAGTATAAGTTAAATTGTGGTGTAAATTAAGCCTCATGAGAGTTCAGTGTTTTAGATTGCAGTAAAGTTTTATCACACAGTTACCTCCCCTCAACATACAATCCACATGTCACTGCCAATACGCCAGGTAGAAGAGCAAGTCTATGACTTTGGTCTGATAACTAGGATTGTGATTTAAAACCAGCAACAATTTTAAGTAAAAAATTCAACTAATTTAAAACAAAATTCTATTGCTCTTGATTGTTTAGAGGTTAAAAAAACCATTCAGGTATATGATGATTTTTTTTATTCAAGTATTAAAATCCAGATTACCGATCAGCTGTAGGATACTGAATATGTCCATTATCAATACCATGAAGACGCTGCATGGTTCAATTTACAATACAGAAAGTCACATTGTGAAACAGTGTCCTTATTTTTACTGGATTCATAGCGGCCTGCATTGTTAACTAAATTTATCTTTTCAACACACACATGGGCCTATTTGTGAAGACAAAAGGAAATTAAGGATAAAAAAATGACAATAGTGATAAATGATGCAACTTTTCTCTTTACATAAAGTAAGGCATATGCATTGCTTGTACATTCTAAAATGGTGATTATGCTACCATAGGAGATTTTGCTGGACTGGTGTCATCTTTCTAATGACTGGCTCAAAGTTGATAACCATATATATAGGAAGACTTAAAAGAATAGACTTCAAAGAAAAGTTAGACTATAGAGTCAGACAGGAATGTTTTGTAGAGTTGGTTGTCCTTTAGTGAAGTCTTTATTTGCATTTTCTGTGGACAATTTCTGTGTCATAAAGCATCAGCATTAGTGTAATATTGATTGTAAAGTTACCAACTGTTATAAACATGCTCAGCTTTTAACTCAGGAATTTCATACAAGCCTCTGACACTTCTAAACCACAAATTCACAGAAAGAGTTATGTCCCCTCCAATGTCCTGGTCAAAACAATGTGAAGGGGAAAGCAAGGTAATTTGCTTTTGTTTTAAGAAATCAAATGAGTACATCATTTAGTTACAACAAAGAACCTGACTACCTCTACATATTCTTCTTAATCATTTTCTTATGAATGTCAGAACATCAACGTGCACCTTCTCAACAGAAAAGGACTTTTTAAGTAGTGGTCCAAGCACTGAAGGGATTCAAACAGATAAAATGGCGTTAGGGTTTTTTCTTCTTCTCTTATGAAAATTAGTTGAATATATATGTTATTGTTAGTCTTGTACAAAGAATTAGATGGTATTGTGTTACTGTTCCCTGACCCTGCAAAAAGAGACTGATGAACTGACAAAAAAACTTAGTGGTCTCTTTGTGATGTACAGATAATGATCTTAATTTCATAATTGAAAAAGAAAATTGCATACCTGTTAAACATTGTAATCAATTTTGAATTCACAGATGTTTTTGATTTATTGATTTGTTCATTTGTATTCAATCTCAGGTTTAGAATTTTAAATGTATTATTTCAAATTACTCAAAATAAACATAATAATGTGGCCTTATGTACATTGAATGTACAAAGAAATCACGGCAGTTAATCCCTTTGTGGCCACACAAGACCAGTCAGCAGCAAGGGCAGCACTATCTTTTGTTCATGCATAAATTGAAGTAAACTGTGGACATTTTGTTTGTGCAAAGATTAAAGCAAAATATTTTGATTGGCTGTGAAGCATTCGTAAGATTAGGTTAAGGACTGTATTATTACGGGACAAGGTCTTTGATAGGTTTTCTTATGTTGTTTTCAGCCATGAATTTCGATTGGTTATTGATATTTACTTAACAGGGATTTCGATTGGCTGTGGATATTTACTAAACAGAGGATTTTGATTGGCTGTGGACAATATAATTGATATTCAAGTTATACTTTTTTTTAGCATCCATTAAATGTATTTTTTTTTATGAAATCCAAAGAAATATTGCCATTTGGGTATAAAGGTATCATAGACAAACTGGAAATCTCACAGATTTAAGGAGCTCTTCTGACTGATCAAAATTATGTGTTGCCCATTGCTTT